ACCACACCACCATCACCACCACCCAGCACCAGGGGTGATCCACCACACCACCACCACCACCACCACGGGTGATCCACCACACCACCACCCAGCACCAGGGGTGATCCACCACACCACCACCACCACCACCCAGCACCACGGGTGATCCACCACACCACCATCACCACCACCCAGCACCACGGGTGATCCACCACACCACCATCAGCACCACCCAGCACCAGGGGTGATCCACCACACCACCACCACCACCACCACGGGTGATCCACCACACCACCACCCAGCACCAGGGGTGATCCACCACACCACCACCACCACCACCACCACGGGTGAGCCACCACACCACCACCACCACCTCCCAGCACCAGGGGTGATCCACCACACCACCACCACCACCCAGCACCAGGGGTGATCCACCACACCACCACCACCACCCAGCACCAGGGGTGATTCACCACACCACCACCACCACCCAGCACCAGGGGTGATCCACCACACCACCACCACCACCCAGCACCAGGGGTGATCCACCACACCACCACCACCACCCAGCACCAGGGTGATCCACCACACCACCACCACCACCCAGCACCAGGGGTTATTCACCACACCACCACCCAGCACCAGGGGTGATCCACCACACCACCACCACCACCCAGCACCAGGGGTGATTCACCACACCACCACCACCACCCAGCACCAGGGGTGATCCACCACACCACCACCACCACCCAGCACCAGGGGTGATCCACCACACCACCACCACCACCCAGCACCAGGGGTGATCCACCACCACCATCACCCAGCACCAGGGGTGATCCACCACACCACCACCACCACCACCCAGCACCAGGGGTGATCCACCACACTACCACCAACCCCCAGCACCAGGGGTGATCCACCACACCACCACCACCCAGCACCAGGGGTGATCCACCACACCACCACCAACCACCAGCACCAGGGGTGATCCACCACCACCATCACCCAGCACCAGGGGTGATCCACCACACCACCACTACCCAGCACCAGGGGTGATCCACCACCACCATCACCCAGCACCAGGGGTGATCCACCACACCACCACTACCCAGCACCAGGGGTGATCCACCACACCACCACCACCCAGCACCAGGGGTGATCCACCACACCACCACTACCCAGCACCAGGGGTGATCCACCACACCACCACCACCCAGCACCAGGGGTGATCCACCACACCACCACCACCACCACCCAGCACCAGGGGTGATCCACCACACCACCACCACCACCACCCAGCACCAGGGGCGATCCACCACACCACCACCACCACCACCCAGCACCAGGGGTGATCCACCACACCACCACCACCACCACCCAGCACCAGGGGTGATCCACCACCACCCAGCACCAGGGGTGATCCACCACCACCACCACCCAGCACCAGGGGTGATCCACCACACCACCACCACCCAGCACCAGGGGTGATCCACCACACCACCACCACCCAGCACCAGGGGTGATCCACCACACCACCACCACCACCACCCAGCACCAGGGTGATCCACCACACCACCACCACCACCACCCAGCACCAGGGGTGATCCACCACACCACCACCACCACCACCCAGCACCAGGGGTGATCCACCACCACCCAGCACCAGGGGGATCCACCACCACCACCACCCAGCACCAGGGGTGATCCACCACACCACCACCACCACCACCCAGCACCAGGGGTGATCCACCACACCACCACCACCCAGCACCAGGGGTGATCCACCACCACCACCACCCAGCACCAGGGGTGATCCACCACACCACCACCACCACCACCCAGCACCAGGGGTGATCCACCACACCACCACCACCCAGCACCAGGGGTGATCCACCACACCACCACCACCCAGCACCAGGGGTGATCCACCACACCACCACCACCACCCAGCACCAGGGGTGATCCACCACACCACCACCACCCAGCACCAGGGGTGATCCACCACACCACCACCACCACCCCGCACCAGGGGTGATCCACCACACCACCACCACCCAGCACCAGGGGTGATCCACCACACCACCACCCAGCACCAGGGGTGATCCACCACACCACCACCACCACCCAGCACCAGGGGTGATCCACCACACCACCACCACCCAGCACCAGGGGTGATCCACCACACCACCACCACCCAGCACCAGGGGTGATCCACCACACCACCACCACCACCCAGCACCAGGGGTGATCCACCACACCACCACCACCCAGCACCAGGGGTGATCCACCACACCACCACCCAGCACCAGGGGTGATCCACCACACCACCACCCAGCACCAGGGGTGATCCACCACACCACCACCACCCAGCACCAGGGGTGATCCACCACACCACCACCCAGCACCAGGGGTGATCCACCACACCACCACCCAGCACCAGGGGTGATCCACCACACCACCACCAGCACCAGGGGTGATCCACCACACCACCACCACCCAGCACCAGGGTGATCCACCACACCACCACCACCACCACCCAGCACCAGGGGTGATCCACCACACCACCACCACCACCACCCAGCACCAGGGGTGATCCACCACACCACCACCACCACCACCCCAGCACCAGGGGTGATCCACCACACCACCACCCAGCACCAGGGGTGATCCACCACACCACCACCAGCACCAGGGGTGATCCACCACACCACCACCACCCAGCACCAGGGGTGATCTACCACACCACCACCACCACCACCCAGCACCAGGGGTGATCCACCACACCACCACCACCACCACCCAGCACCAGGGGTGATCCACCACACCACCACCACCACCACCCAGCACCAGGGGTGATCCACCACACCACCACCACCACCACCCAGCACCAGGGGTGATCCACCACACCACCACCACCCAGCACCAGGGGTGATCCACCACACCACCACCCAGCACCAGGGGTGATCCACACCACCACCACCACCCCCAGCACCAGGGGTGATCCACCACACCACCACCACCCAGCACCAGGGGTGATCCACCACACCACCACCCAGCACCAGGGGTGATCCACCACACCACCACCACCCAGCACCAGGGGTGATCCACCACACCACCACCACCACCCAGCACCAGGGGTGATCCACCACACCACCACCACCCAGCACCAGGGGTGATCCACCACACCACCACCACCACCCAGCACCAGGGGTGATCCACCACACCACCACCACCCAGCACCAGGGGTGATCCACCACACCACCACCACCCAGCACCAGGGGTGATCCACCACACCACCACCACCCAGCACCAGGGGTGATCCACCACACCACCACCCAGCACCAGGGGTGATCCACCACACCACCACCACCCAGCACCAGGGGTGATCCACCACACCACCACCAACACCCAGCACCACGGGTGATCCACCACACCACCACCACCCAGCACCAGGGGTGATCCACCACACCACCACCACCCAGCACCAGGGGTGATCCACCACACCACCACCACCCAGCACCAGGGGTGATCCACCACACCACCACCACCACCACCACCCAGCACCAGGGGTGATCCACCACACCACCACCACCACCCAGCACCAGGGGTGATCCACCACCACCACCACCACCCAGCACCAGGGGTGATCCACCACACCACCACCACCACCAGGGGTGATCCACCACACCACCACCACCACCACCACCCAGCACCAGGGGTGATCCACCACACCACCACCACCACCACCAGGGGTGATCCACCACACCACCACCACCACCACCCAGCACCAGGGGTGATCCACCACACCACCACCACCCAGCACCAGGGGTGATCCACCACACCACCACCACCACCCAGCACCAGGGGTGATCCACCACCACCACCACCACCCAGCACCAGGGGTGATCCACCACACCACCACCACCCAGCACCAGGGGTGATCCACCACACCACCACCACCCAGCACCAGGGGTGATCCACCACACCACCACCACCCAGCACCAGGGGTGATCCACCACACCACCACCACCACCCAGCACCAGGGGTGATCCACCACACCACACCACCACCAGGGGTGATCCACCACACCACACCACCACCACCACCAGGGGTGATCCATCAATCAAGCCAGTCAAGAATTTTGTGAAGTATTTCACGGAGTATTTCCCAACACAAGATAAACGTATCAGAGGGGCGAGACGGTGATCTTATATATACATTACACTGGAGGTTATCTTGAGATGATTTCGGGGCTTTAGTGTCCCCGCGGCCCGGTCCTCGACCAGGCCTCCCTGGTGTGGTAATATTTATCAGGTGTGGTAATATTTATATATAGTTAGTTCACAGCGGCACTGTCTGACTCCAGTGCCAGAAAGAGAAGAGGAAAGAAAGGCCTTATAACTGTATTCCTCTTGGAAGGGATCAGGATAACCATTTGGGATGGGACGGAGGGAAGGAATGGTGCCCATACCATTTGATCACCGGGGATCGATCACCGACCTGTGTGAACCTTTCGAGTCACCTCCGTGCTGACTAGAAAGGGAGGACATGCAGGTTAAAACAATATTTATATAACAAATGATAGCAGGGGTGATGGTCGGTGCAGCGACGGCCTACCTTTGTACAGGTCGGCGTTCGATCCCCCGATGATCAAATGATTGGATATCTTAACCATTACACGGCCACACTATCCCGATCCCTTACTCTGTCCTCGTATCCCTTTTCAAAGGCAATATCGTCATCCTGGCTTAGTGCTTTCACATAATAATTTCATTTTCACAATGCTAAATCCTCACGTTAAAGTGACGAAAATGGCCAAATAAACAGCCATTGAAACCGGGGAAAGTTTCGGAAACAAAAATAATTGTCTATTGTGGGTAGCAACCTGCAGTGTTGAGTGTTGGATCCGTTAGATCCATCGCCCCGTCATGGCTGCTGAAGTATAGAAATTCAGTCGCTACAAAGTTGATATAATATATCTTGGTGTTCAATACCTTCCTTCATGGACGAGACTACCAACATCAGAGGAATGTACTGATGATTAATTTGGGAGATGAAAGACGTGTCAATGGTGAACATTTCGTTAGTGTCGGGGGACGGGTCGGTGGACGGGTCGGGGGACGGGTCGGGGGACGGGTCGGTGGACGGGTCGGTGGACGGGTCGGGGGACGGGTCGGGGGACGGGTCGGGGGACGGGTCGGGGGACGGGTCGGGGGACGGGTCGGCGGACGGGTCGGCGGACGGGTCGGGGGACGGGTCGGGGGACGGGACGGTGGACGGGTCGGGGGACGGGACGGTGGACGGGTCGGGGACGGGTCGGGGGACGGGTCGGGGGACGGGACGGTGGACGGGTCGGGGGACGGGTCGGCGGACGGGTCGGCGGACGGGTCGGCGGACGGGACGGTGGACGGGTCGGGGGACGGGTCGGCGGACGGGTCGGCGGACGGGTCGGCGGACGGGTCGGCGGACGGGTCGGCGGACGGGTCGGCGGACGGGTCGGCGGACGGGTCGGCGGACGGGTCGGCGGACGGGTCGGCGGACGGGTCGGCGGACGGGTCGGGTGAGGTAAGATCGACCAGGACTGGAAGAGAGACACTTGCCTGACGCGCCATAATTTTGTTGCACAGTTCCTTCCCTCACCTTTTATACACCATTTTTCCCCCCTTCCCCTCACACAATTTTTCTATTCCATTTTTTCCATACTATGCTGTTAACATTCCTTTCCATTTGGAATTTTGCGAGGCCATTTTTAGCCATGGCCTCGCTTCTCACAGGTCGGAGTTCGATCCCTTATGGTCCACCGTTCCTTCTCTCCGTCCTGTCCCAGCTACCCGTCGCTGACTCTGGAGGCCACCCATGGTACTCCCAGGCTACCCTGGGTGACCCTGGCCTCACCTGACTCTGGAGGCCACCCATGATACTCCCAGGCTACCCTGGGTGACTCTGGAGGGCCACCATGGTACTCCCAGGCTTACCCTGGGTGACCCCGGCTTCACCTGACTCTGGAGGGCCACCATGGTACTCCCAGGCTACCCTGGGTGACCCCGGCCTCACCTGACTCTGGAGGGCCACCCATGGTACTCCCAGGCTACCCTGGGTGACCCCGGCCTCACCTGACTCTGGAGGGCCACCCATGGTACTCCCAGGCTACCCTGGGTGACCCCGGCCTCACCTGACTCTGGAGGCCACCCATGGTACTCCCAGGCTACCCTGGGTGACCCCGGCCTCACCTGACTCTGGAGGCCACCCATGGTACTCCCAGGCTACCCTGGGTGACCCCGGCCTCACCTGACTCTGGAGGCCACCCATGGTACTCCCAGGCTACCCTGGGTGACCCCGGCCTCACATGACTCTGGAGGCCACCCATGGTACTCCCAGGCTACTCTGGGTGACCCCGGCCTCACATGACTCTGGAGGGCCACCCATGGTACTCCCAGGCTACCCTGGGTGACCCCGGCCTCACCTGACTCTGGAGGCCCCCCATGGTACTCCCAGGCTACCCTGGGTGACCCCGGCCTCACCTGACTCTGGAGGCCACCCATGGTACTCCCAGGCTACCCTGGGTGACCCCGGCCTCACCTGACTCTGGAGGCCCCCCATGGTACTCCCAGGCTACCCTGGGTGACCCCGGCCTCACCTGACTCTGGAGGGCCACCCATGGTACTCCCAGGCTACCCTGGGTGACCCCGGCCTCACCTGACTCTGGAGGGCCACCCATGGTACTCCCAGGCTACCCTGGGTGACCCCGGCCTCACCTGACTCTGGAGGCCACCCATGGTACTCCCAGGCTACCCTGGGTGACCCCGGCCTCACCTGACTCTGGAGGGCCACCCATGGTACTCCCAGGCTACCCTGGGTGACCCCGGCCTCACCTGACTCTGGAGGGCCACCCATGGTACTCATTCCATTATCATTCAGCTGAAGAAACCGCTAATCTATTTTTTTCTATGCAAATTACTTCTGGCTTCAAATTGCGTTTGTAATGTTGGTAATTGTCGAGATTAATTGGTTTTTCTCTCTCTACACTTTTCTTAACCATCTTATCTTTCTCTGGCCACTCTTCTCTCTCACCCTCTCCCTCTCTCCCCTCTCACACACTCCTCTTCCCTCTCACCCTCTCCCTCTCTCCCCTCTCACACACTCCTCTTCCCTCTCACCCTCTCCCTCTCTCCTCTCTCACACACTCCTCTTCCCTCTCACCCTCTCCCTCTCTCCTCTCTCACCCTCTCCCTCTCCCCCTCTCACACACTCCTCTCCCCTCTCACAGGCCTCTCTCACATCATTTAACTTTCCCACTGTTGTGTCTTTTCCTGGGTTCTTTCTCTTCTTTCTCAATGTGACCATTCTTCCATATTCTGTATCTGTTCCCTCTCTATTGTTCTTCTCTTTCTCTCCCTCCCTTCCCATCTCCCCTCACGGCTGACCTCTCCCTCCCCCCACCCCTCACAGCTGACCTCTCCCTTCCCACCTCCCCTCACAGCTGACCTCTCCCTTCCCACCTCCCCTCACGGCTGACCTCTCCCTTCCCACCTCCCCTCACGGCTGACCTCTCCCTCCCCTCTCCCCTCACGGCTGACCTCTCCCTTCCCACCTCCCCTCACGGCTGACCTCTCCCTTCCCACCTCCCCTCACGGCTGACCTCTCCCTCCCCCCTCCCCTCACGGCTGACCTCTCCCTTCCCACCTCCCCTCACGGCTGATCTCTCCCTCCCCCTCCCCTCACGGCTGACCTCTCCCTTCCCACCTCCCCTCACGGCTGACCTCTCCCTTCCCACCTCCCCTCACGGCTGACCTCTCCCTCCCCCTCCCCTCACGGCTGACCTCTCCCTTCCCACCTCCCCTCACGGCTGACCTCTCCCTCCCCCTTCCCCTCACGGCTGACCTCTCCCTTCCCACCTCCCCTCACGGCTGACCTCTCCCTTCCCACCTCCCCTCTCATGCATACCGTTCCATTAGCTTCCGATTTCACTCTTTTACGTATAATTTTCGCTTTTAATTTTTGGTGTAAGGTAAGCTTCCCTCTCTCACTTGCTCTCACTCTGGGTGTAAGGTTAGCTTCCCTCTCTCACTTGCTCTCACTCTGGGTGTAAGGTTAGCTTCCTTCTCTCACTCACTCTGGGTGTAAGGTTAGCTTCCCTCTCTCTCTCTCTCACTCTGGGTGTAAGGTTAGCTTCCTTCTCTCACTCACTCTGGGTGTAAGGTTAGCTTCCCTCTCTCTCTCTCACTCTGGGTGTAAGGTTAGCTTCCTTCTCTCACTCACTCTGGGTGTAAGGTTAGCTTCCTTCTCTCACTCACTCTGGGTGTAAGGTTAGCTTCCCTCTCTCTCTCTCACTCTGGGTGTAAGGTTAGCTTCCTTCTCTCTCTCACTCTGGGTGTAAGGTTAGCTCCCTCCCTCTCTCTCTCTCTCACTCTGGGGGTAAGGCATGCGCACACACACACACTACAAGGAACTAAGCAATATTACTAGACATAAAATCTAGCTGTGGCTCAATTTCAACTTTTTAGCCATAACTGCAGTAATAACATGTGTGTCAGCTTGGAATATTAGAGCCCGGCGCTTCACCCACACAATCCCCCCCCACCATCAACCACAATCTCCCCCCCCACCATCAACCACAATCACCCCCCCCCACCATCAACCACAATCCCCCCCACCATCAACCACAATCACCCCCCCCCCCACCATCAACCACAATCACCCCCCCCACCATCAACCACAATCACCCCCCCCACCATTAACCACAATCACCCCCCCCACCATCAACCACAATCACCCCCCCACCATCAACCACAATCACCCCCCCCCACCATCAACCACAATCACCCCCCCCCACCATCAACCACAATCTCCCCCCCCCCACCATCAACCACAATCACCCCCCCCACCATCAACCACAATCACCCCCCCCCACCATCAACCACAATCTCCCCCCCCCACCATCAACCACAATCTCCCCCCCCCACCATCAACCACAATCTCCCCCCCCCACCATCAACCACAATCTCCCCCCCCACCATCAACCACAATCACCCCCCCCCCCACCATCAACCACAATCACCCCCCCCCCCCACCATCAACCACAATCTCCGCCCCCCACCATCAACCACAATCTCCCCCCCCACCATCAACCACAATCACCCCCCCCCCCCACCATCAACCACAATCTCCCCCCCCACCATCAACCACAATCTCCGCCCCCCCCGCCCCCTAAAAAAACAAGAAAAATCAGTTTCTAGAACAAATCACAAACAGGAAAATTTTAATTTTCAACATGTGTTATTTTCTTGCAAAGTTTGCTCGGATCTGTTGCACCTTCTGGCTATCTTGTGTGTGGTGATCCCGACGATCAACGTCCCCGCGGCCCGGTCTCTGACCAGGCCCCCTGGTTGATGGTCTGGTCAACTAGGCTGTTGGACGCGGCTGCTCGTGGTCAAGCGTATGGGATCACAGCCTGGTTGATCAAGTATTTTACAGGTGTTTATAAGGTTCTGTCATGAACAGCATGAGAGCTAGACCGGCCAATTATGACCCTTATGTGCACACTCATTTTTTGTAATAACCTATTGTAATTTTTTTAAAATATATAATTTAAAATATTTTTAAATTTGGAACTATTCGTTATTTGTGTAATCTGTCCTCTCGGGTATCGTGAAGTTATGGTACATTATGGTTACCAACGTACCATATGTATGACTATTTTTTCTACGGTGTAAATTTTTTTTAGCACGGTGTTTCGAACCTGCGTTTGGGAGCATCCCAGACACTGCCTTAATCGACTGATCTACGACAGGGTTAAAAAGAGTTGAAACCGAAGTTCAACTACAGTTTTCTGCGTCCCGGACGCAGGTTCGAATCCTCGTCACGGCCCTTGTGGATTTGTTCATTTGATGCATCACGTTCGTGTGATCTCTGTGTGTAATGATGTAAGGGCGAAGAGGGAGAACGGCCTATTGACATAGCTCGGGTGCAGGGGGGAGTTGTGTAAAATCCTGGTTTGTGTCTCGGAGAGGCTACGGGATCCAGTAAGTTCAGTAGAACTTCGGTTTCAACTCTTTTTAACCCTGTCGTAGCTCAGTCGATTTAGCACGGTGTATTGAGGTTAGCTCGGTATATTGAGGTTAGCTCGGTATATTGAGGTTAGCTCGGTATATTGAGGTTAGCTCGGTATATTGAGGTTAGCTCGGTATATTGAGGTTAGCTCGGTATATTGAGGTTAGGTGTATCATCCAGTCTTCATGCTGGAGACTGGAAGGGAAGGGAACTATCAGGGGAAAGCACCAAGCCATTACGACTATATAGCACTTGGAAAGGGTCAGGATAAGCATTTGGGATGGGACGGGGGGAAAGGAATGGTGCCCAACCACTTGTGGACGGTCGGGGATTGAACGACGACCTGCATGACGCGAGACCGTCGCTCTACCGTCCAGCCCAAGTGGTTGGACGGTGGGGACAGGAGTGACAGATCAAGCCGACCTCACAACACCTTCTTAAAGAAACCCCCCTAACTGAAGGGTAACCCCAGGGAACCGACCTGGTCGACCAAGCCTAGGAGGCCTGGTCGACGACTGGGCCGCAGGGACACTAAGCCCCGGAAGCACCTCAAGGTAACCTG